ATTAAGTTGTCTGTTTACTTTACTCATGTTTCGTTAGATATCGCTGAAAAAGATTATAATCAGCGAACAGGATTCAACAATAAAACGTCGTTAAGAAATAAAAATTGTATAATTGCACGATCGAAACGAGTCACGAATATTTTACCATGTAAATTAAAATTCAATTAGTTTCGTGTTAGCATACTTTCAATGTTTACTTTTTAAACATTAAATTTATTTAATCTGTTATATTTTCTTGTTGTATATCTATTGTGATGTGGAGCTCTGACAAGACACAACACTTAACTCGACAGAGTCAGTCATGATAGTAGTATTCAATACTCAGCTCGATAAGTCACTGCAATAGTATATCTTCTCTCTAGACTAATCATGAATGGACTGATCCATTCATGATAGTAAGGAGGGTAACAGGCTCTTACCACAAAAGTGAAGAGAGCATGCCTGCCTTGAAAGTTGTGGAGAGCCATGGTTACCCGTGTCCTGAAGATGAAACTGCGGAAAAGTGATTAAAACTACACAAACATTTAAAACCAAGAGATATAATATGGTCTGATTATACATTCGAGAATCCTTTTGGTAGATTCAGCCAAAAAAAAAAAAAATTATATAAGAAACACAAGCCTGACTGTTGGTCAAGGTAATTGTGTATTTAAAACTACTGCCGGGGGTGGGTTAGAAGACCCAGGTAAGCAAGGATTGCACAAGGTTTCTTTGTTTCTTTCTTTATCATGTGGGATCTGGCATAACACAAAACTTAACTCGACACACTCAGTCGTGATAGTAGTATTCAATACTCAGCTAAACAAGTCACTGCAACAATATTGTCTTCTTTTTTCTCTTTAGACAATTACACAGGACTACGAATCATGAATGGAACAGTCCATTCATGATAGTAAGGAGGTTAACTGGCTCTTACCACAACAGTATCCGACCACTATACGTTAAAAACATAAAGCAAATTATTTAAAAAATATTTATTTCAGGTTATTTTCATACCTCATGATAAAAAACTGATGAGAATATTAGTCTGAATGTAAATAATAACTCCTCATCTAAAAACAAAAAAAAAACACTAATAATGTGACTATACCGAAGGATCCTGAGAATAACATGGGCTGAACATGTGAACAATGACGAAGGGAAAATGGAAATAAAAAGGGCACTTGTGCTTTACATCAGAAAGATAGTGTTGAAATTTCTAAGGCACATAATGAGGAAAGAGAGCTTGGACAATGTGATACTCACAGGGCAGATTGGAAGCAAGAAGGAAAAAGAAAAGTAACTCATAACCTATCTAAAACCTTGTGCAAATGGTTGACAGAAGAGGGACGAAAAAATTTTCTGAGACGTAAAAAAGACAGGAAATTAGGAGAACGAAGGGGCACGAGACGACGACGACGAAGAAGAAGAAGAAGAAGAAGAAGAAGAAGAAGAAGAAGAAGAAGAAGAAGATGATGGAGTGATGGAACAATAACAAGAAGAACAAGAAAAAGAAGAACAAGATGGAGGAAGAGGAGAAGGAGGAGGAGAAGAAGAAGAGGAAGATGATGGAGTGATGGAAGAAGAAGACAGTCCAGGCAAATCGTGAATACCATGTCCATCTTTGTGTTTCACTTAAGTTTCATCCGTGAAAGTGTCTTCACCCAAAACAATTGATTCGCAGAGGATTTCTCCAAAAGAAAAAAAATCTTCACCTACAATTTTTGTAAATATCCCCAAAAAATCAAATCTCCTTCAAAACAGTGTCAACACGTGAACCTAGCGGCATAATGTGCAACTCCGCGACATACAAATTCCATTTCTTTTCGACACCCCGACCTATATATATATATATATATATATATATATATACATATTAACTTACGTCGAAAGTACGACTCGGTGTTTTGTGTTCAATACAATCATCAGGTACTTATAATGGTGATTACGATCGTTAGTATTTTCAAAAATTCTGCGTCTCTTGGAAGTAACGTTATATAGTATATTAATTCCACGTTTATCATTCTAGCATTAGACATAATGGCGAAACGAAATTTTATTTTGGTTTCACTGCAAACCAATGGAAATCCCTGTGTTACCAACACAAAATACCGCTTACCGACAGTCAATATTACAACACTGCATTCTCTAAACATTTCTGGAAAATTAAGATGGATAATTGCATCCCATTAATAACTTGGATTTACATAACTAAAACCAAACCTTTTAGTGGCAAGGGAGATAAATGTAACCTGGACAAACTTATCATCTTTAAGCACACTGATAACCCCAATCTGCTGAACAAACGAAGTGAATTTATGACCACATGCATTCATAGAAAAATCTTTCTTCGTAAATATGTCGATTCTGGTTAACATATGTAATCTAACAATTCATAGATTATCCTTTATTTTATATTTATTTCTATAATTATATATTTTAATTCTTAATTATTTTTATATACATGTATATTATTATATATTTATATTTTTGTTTCATTTTCTTTACATTTACATATATTTAATATTGTTTTTTTATATTTTTTTATAATTAGTTATTACAATTTAACTTTGTTATAGTTATTTTTTATATAAAGTTACCCCCGTGATTCGCTATCACTTTAATTTTAACGATTGTTTTGTGATTTTTGTGATTGCACGCATGTATAGTTGCTTGTATTTATATTTGTAACATTATTTAGGTTGGTGGTAACTGATAATCATAATGGCGACTTAAAATATCACTGAAAACGAGATAATGATGAATAACATGAAAAGGGTTAACCAATATCGGGAAAGACAGGCTGATAATAAGATTGTTCCCAGAGAACCGAAATATGTACAATGGACCAGATGACCGCCTGAAGGCATTCTCAGTTTATGCAAACAAATCAGCTGTTGACAGCCGTTGTTGACAGCCTGTGGCAACCAATGTCTGGATCTGACAAGAGAAGAGTTGGGTTAAAATTAAATGAACAATGAATTGAACACCTGCAGCTGAGCAACGGTCGCCACAATGGGAGTTGAAAAAAATTCCCCTGTGAAAGTGTCTCTTGGGTCAGGGGTGAGAAAACCAATTGTGGTGTCAATTCACTTACGAGAAAATAACATTTGAAACCATATTTTTTTTATTAATCTCCGACCGAATGTTGGAGGTGACAGGCGCAGAAGAGCAATCGAGGAAGGATGAGGGGCTTCCTGCACCCACTGAAGAGTAGCAGGCATAGAAGAGACATTAAGGTGGTTGAAGGAGCTGCTCACGACCACTGAAGGGCAATAGTGAGAGGTGGTACTAAGAGAAGGTGGGGGAAGCCGGGCGGAGCGATGTCTGCAACCACCCATCCACGAGAGAAGGAGAATTGCCCCAAATTTATGAATTAATTAAAAAAAAATAATAGGCTTTTGTTAGAAATCGGGGGATTCACCGAAACCCAGCCTACATCTTTCCCCGCACCGGTTTCTAGTTGGAGTCCATAAAATGAATGGGTGAAAGCCATTCAGACAGTGACAGTCAGTAAAGAGTCAAACTTGCGAGCTGAGAGCTGATAAGGAAAGCGACAGAGGTCACTGAGAGATTCCACATTTCCTGCCAAACACAAGAACCTCAGACTTCAGCCTTGAGCCAAACTTACCAAAACAATAAAACAAATTTTGATAATTCTGCAAATTAAAAAAAAACTTACCAGCTTACTCAAGTGTTGCGTCTGATTTAGGAACGGGTTGGGTCCATCAACACCTGTAGGCGAACACAACTACTAACGAACCCTTGTACGCAGAATTGATATAAAAATAGTAATTATTTTTTATATACATTTTGAGTGCTGTTTTTTTTTTCAATGTTATTGTACGACTTCGCTCGACTTGGACCAGCCCAATATGAAGATACCTGCGACGAATCGATCTTGACCGCCTTATAATCAAATCAATAACAACGTGGGATAAAGCAGGTCATGATCGAAGAGATCACTGCATTGATCAAACCAGGATCCACCCCGGGCTGACCGTGACGAAAGGTTACATCTGTGGCCGTTTGTTGTGAACCAGGATCGAGTTGAAATGCTACATATTTATTTAATTCATATATATATATATATATATATATATATATATATATAGAGAGAGAGAGAGATAGATAGATAGATAGATAGATAGATAGATAGATAGATAGATAGATAGATGTGTGTGTGTCCTGTATTTCACTACTACAAACAAACAGGATTTTTCTCCTGATGATAACCATGCAGACCGAAACTAGTCGAGAAACCTAATGAATAAGAAACAAAAATATTAATATACAACCCGGTGTGTCTGAAATTTTCATCTTTAACAATATTTATTGTTCAAAACACTCACACACTCACACACACACACACACACACGCACACACACACACATATCTGTGTGTGTGTGTGTGTGTGTGTGTGTGTGTGTGTGTGTGTGTGTGTGTGTAGATATGAACGAAATAATTAGATATTAGCAATTGTATATGCCTGCCTTAGCGTGTATACACAGATAAGTGAATAAATATTCACTTAATTTAATATAAGGTGTAAATAAAACAGTGCTCAATGTAGTCAGACAGAGCTAAAAAATACAGTCAACTACGAAATTATTCGTACAAATAATAAATAATAATAGTAAATAATTTTGAATATTTCTATCCCTTTCTCAGTATCTAATGCCCGTATGATGCCAGATTTTTTTATATGTTAATAAGCACAAAAAAGGAATATAAAACTCAATTTTCAGAACATTAAGTTAAATACAAAAAAATTGACAAATAGATTGTTCAAGAATTTTTTTTTTCCAAAAACCAATTAAATATTTCCTTACTCCTTGTGTTTGGGGCTAAGATCCTACTGGTTTTGAAGCAGTAGAAAAGTAAGGTTTTTTTTTTTTTAAATCTACATTTACCAATAATAATCCTAGATTACAATGAAAATCTAACGCGTTTTATGCTTGACAAAAGGGCCTCTTTTTTGTAGACAGACGATCAGATCTATTTTGTTGCCTTACATGTAATCAGAGTTTGTTATCAAGTAGGAGTGGCGGATTAAAAAACAAACGCATATCCTGACGACAGACATAGGTCAACTCGCTACTGTTCCAGTATTGCAGAACAATAGATAGATAGATAGATAGATAGATAGATAGATAGATAGATAGATAAATATGAACAAACTGAGATAGATAGATAGATAGATAGATAGATATGAATAGACTGACATAGATAGATTGATATGAACAGATTGAGATAGATAGATAGATAGAAACAAACTGATAAAAAAGAAAGTTTGAATTCTTAAATGATTCATAATAGCTGAGAACATCGATAAATGATTTTCTTGAATTCTCGTATAAATTTTTAATTTCTTAAATGTCCATCTACTTATTTTCTTTCTTTCGAGAGAAACACATATTGTTCCCGAATGAATAGATTTTTTCTTTCCTCTAACAAACAACTTTTCGTAGCCTCATTCCATTATCACTGAGACAAATAATGCTTTTATAGATAACGTTCAATAAAACCGGTGTATTTTAATTTTATTCCCCTCTTGACGTAAAACCTATTATAGGACAAAAGAACCTTTTGTTGGATTAAAGCTAGACATTTATGAAATTTGAATGAGATTTAAGGTTGTCTGAAAAATACTATAAACTCGTTAAAACTTAGAGGACTATAAATATAGACCTATTTCTTTTAAACCAAATACAAAGTCTTGTCTATTCCGACATTAAGACTACTAACACAAGAACTTCAATCGCGATTATGAAATTTTTTTAATGGAAGATTTGTGAAGACGACAATGATTTACAAAAAAAAAAAAAAAAAATACATCTAAAGAACATTGACCAAAAAGCCGAATGCATAATGCAGTTGTGAGTTTTTGAATTACATGTTGTTGAAAATGTTACACCTGAAAGAAGAAAATTGGAAGAAAATGTCCAAAATGTAGAAGGTTTTTTTTTTTTTTTACACCATTTATATTGTTCAAACTGTTGTTCTCAACTTTACTGTTCCATTACACGGTGTTTCAGTCGTCGTAAACTCCGGTCTTTTTCAGGTGGTATTTACTGAACCTCGATCGAACCCTTTATTTAGTCCACGTTGGTGGGGTGTTCTAATTCCACGTGTGATGCGTTTGGTTATGTCAGTTTTAGTTCATTCGCCTTGATAACTCTCCAATATTTTGTTCTCTCCGCTGAGGTCAGGTATTGAACTCACAAGTCACTTTTGGGATCAACCAACCAACGCTTTTATGCACTGGGCCTGATGAGTCAATTTTGGAGATTTATAAACCTAATGTCTCAATAATCATTTTTTTACCAGAGCTCATATTAAAATTATATTGTTATTGTTGTTTTTCTTTAGCTCTCAGTATTATTGATTCCATATTGTATTCATGTAAATGATTGGCCGGCTTAGGAGATTTTTGTGGCCTGGCATATGCGCTGATTCCTTAAGTTTTCATATTTTCCAGTGATAGTCTCCATTTATTATTTCAACTTTATCCCACAGAGGACAGTGATCTCCCTTTTCAGACATACTGGATTTTTCATATTTTTTTCATATAATAGTGACTTTCCTATTAACAGGTCAACTATATTCACAAGGAAGCGACTCAGAGGGTGACATGCAGAGCCTTGTCAGTTAAAAATTGGCCTGTAAGGAATACCGTCTTTGTGAATTTGGTCCTAGGTAAGTGGTCCTAGTTCTTGTTTAAGATCTGCGACAGTTTTCTTTCTGTTTTCATTGTTGTGTTTTTCTTTACTTTACTATAGCTTCCGTTTCTAATGAGATCTTCCAGTTTTACAATGTATTCTGTCTTGACCATTACTACACTTGCATTGCCTTTATCGACTGGTAGTATAATGATGTCGTCATTCCTCTGTAGGATGTTGATTGTCAGCCCTTCTTGTTTTGTGATATTCAATTTAGGAGGTTTGGCTTTCTCCAGTATCTGTCCCACTTTCTACCTTCGCTCAAGTATGACCGTAACATGATTGGGATTTAAAAGTCAGATATGGCTGACCGTATATGGAGATTAAAAGGAAATCACCGCAGGAGAACATCACTGAAAAATACAAAAACTTAAGGAATCAGTCCATATACTAAGCTACAAAAATCTCCTAAACCGACTAAGCATATAAATGAATACAATATGGGAACAAGTACAAAGAAAAGAATATTGAACTGTTACGTGACATCTGTCCTTCTTTACGGCAGCGAATGTTGGACGATTTCCTCAAAGATGAACAAGATACAGGAGGCGACGGAGATGTGGTTCTACAGAAGGATACTCGGGATATCATGGACCGAGCGTGTGAGCAACGATGAGGGCTTAGAGAGGTTGCAAACAAGAACAATGCTTATACTTAACATCAGAAAGAGGCAGCTGAAGTTTCTGTGAGGTATAATGAGGAAGGAGGGCCTGGAGAAACTGATACTCACGGGTCAAATAGAGAGAGACAAGTAAAAACAGCGTGTGACATACCTGATGAGCTTGAACAGGTGGATGACAGAACGTGGTCTGGGGGAGGAAGCAGAGGGAAGGAACTTGCTGAGGGCTGCAAGAGATAGAGGGAGGTCGAGAGCTGTGATCGCCTACGTCCTGGAAAGACATGGCATATAAAAAGAAAAGAATTACAGAGAACTAGAGGAAAACAACAACAAAAAAAGGTGGATAATTATAGAAAAAAAATTATAATATGCGCTCTGGTAAAAAAAAAAATTACTGAGACTTGATAAGTCCCAAATATTCACTCACATAAAAGCGGTGGTTGATTGAAGCAAAAAAGGACTTGACCCAAAAGGTTGTGAGTTCAATCCCTGGCCTCAGCGAAAAGAACAAAAGCTTGGAGAGTTATCAAGGCGAATTAACTGAAACTGAGATATCCACGGAAATGGTACGTGGAATTAGAATCGAATGAAATTTTCAGTTCGGAATTCCTGAAGAAGTCAGGAGTTTACAACGGTCGAAACATTGTGTAACATTGACAGTGATGATGAAGACAACACCAAATATAAATAATAGTTACAGTCCCTCGTTTAAGAAATATAGAGAGACGTCGAATGTTTTTTGAAAATCATTTCATCATTTCAGCAGGGTAATAAAGCCACTAAGATGCTAGGGGGTTACTGGATGTGAGAGAATATGAGAAAAAGAAAACAGTATTAAGTAGAGAGTACAAAAAAAAAGAGCAGGAATTAAGAAAAAAAGATAACGATTGACATTACATTTATATTTTTGAATGTCAAAGTTAACTGGAAAGCAAGAAACCGGAGAAGACTTCAACCGGAAGAGACTTCAACCGGAAGAGACTTCAACAGAAAAATCTTCAACCGGTGGAAACTTCAACGGGAAGAAACTTCAACAGAAAAGACTTCAACCGGAAGAGACTTCAGCCGGAAGAGACTTCAATATAAACATCTTCAACCGATGGAGACTTAAACGGGAAGAAAAAGACTTCAACCGGAAGAGACTTCAACAGAAAAGACTTCAACTGAAAGAGACCTCAACCGGAAGAGACTTGCCGCCAATCTATTAATATTCTTAAATTGATGAAGTCGAGGTACAAAGAGGAAAGAACAATTACCCTGAAATTATAGTAAAGGTTTCTTACGAAAGCTGAAGAATATATCTATTGAACTTTGTTAGAAAATAATTGTTTGAAAACTATGGAATATTGAAAATACTGAATCTCAGGATTTGAAATAATAGAGGAAGGCAGAAGACATTATCAATTAAAAACTCTAATGAGTGATAAAATGTCGATCAACACCAGCGCTGATGTCGCTTACATTTCTCGAGATTAAACAGATCTTGAGCCAGTGTAAACAAAGGCTACAGTTTCACTTTCTCAATATCATCATGAAACTTTATTGTCGTATCAGACTCATGGAAACAATTAGAGTCAAAGCAAAGAAAGCGGCTAACTGAAAATGAGATTTCTTTGAATTTGTTTTGCCTAATACGAAAAGTAGACAATGATTCGGATTAATCGATTATTTTTTTAATTCATACTGAAAGAATTAAAACGCCCAGAAAAAAACACAGGTTATAACAAAGTAAGTAATGAAGGAAAAAGAAGAAAAATAGAACAACAGCTTGGTTGAATTAATAATAATAAAATTATTGTAACCTAGGGAAGGTTACTGAATAGAATAATCACACGAAGGTTTGTAATGAATGATAATACTTAGGACAAGAACAACACATATAAGATTCACCAGTGACGCGTAGAAGTAGAAGTCTACTGTTAGAAGTGAGTCAAGTGAATTTCACAATGAATCTCCAACTGCAGGATAACTACCAACCGCCCCACGCGGTCAGATGTGGCACAAGGCCGAATTTAATGTGGGGTATCCGAGCCCGTAGGCTTGGCCAAAGATTCCCCGTAGACACCGTATAAAACGGGATCGGGTAGTTGTTTCCCGAGACGAGATTCTGCCCTTCGACATAGCCTTGTCTGTGGATCTTCTCTGCCCGGAGGCAGAGAGTTTGACCAGCACAGCTGGAGATGAATCTCCAACTGCAAATCAACATACAGTATTTACTACTGTATTTATATGAATGGGGACATACCCATTATCGTCCGTAGGTATGTTCCAACAACAACAATAATAATAATAATAAAACCTCCGTGGCCAAGAAATATCCGGTTGACGTCCAGTTGGGAACAGCCATGTCTCAGGAGCTCTTCAGTTTAATCGACAGTCGTCCTTGAGGTCGTATCTTGAATGAAATTGCCGTTTGGTGTTAAAAATAAAAAGCGAACGGAACATTTCAATGTCTACAAGCAAAATCTCGGATGGTTTGAAACCGACGATCATCGCTCAGTGTTGACTTCTATGTCTGCTCTAATATTTGCACTGAACTGAATTAAATTTTAAATTCAGCGGATCTTAATGACCTCAGTACGAGAATCAGCATTCTTTTTGGCCATGGAATCTGATAAAGATCTTTATTGCCTCCTCCCCTGTCTTCTTCATGCACTGGTCTATCTCTCACTCCTTAACGCCTACTAAAAATTGGAAGGGTAAATACCTGAAAAAGTTTTTCCATATTCTCAATAATATCCTCTTATATATGGTACACTTTATAAAGGGTGTGTAAGGTATTTCAGGACACATTGAAGACCGTATGAAAAAAAAACCCCAAAAAAACAACCAAATCTTACAAACAACTATAATTATTTTTACACTATTCATATTGTTGTGTATGATACACCTAATTTACATAAGCGGACTACCGACCATATAAATATGGGTTGGTACCGGAAGACGGGGAAGATAGTAGAGATTAAGAAATTGAATCCAGAGACTCTGCCCGACTGCGATTTAGTCAACCCATTATGCAGGAACAGTCTTCCCAAGAATATACCAAACTAACTGTAAATATTGTGTACCTATTCTTTGTTTCAATACATTTTGTTAACGTACATTTTGTGTTGTATTATTCCATGCTTATTTAAGCTTCAACACATATTGTTCAAACTGTTGTCCTCATCTTTAATGTCACATTCACGTTTATGCCGTTGTACGCTCCGGCCTTCTTCGGGTGACATTTGTTTGAATTTCGAACCGAACCCATAATAATCAACCGGTATGTTGGTGTTTCTGACGATTGGCATTTGTGTAAACGTTCTTCTTATGTCTATTTCTCTAAAATGAGGTGACATATAACATTCACATTCCTCGTTCGCTCTAAAAGTCACTAAGAATCTGATCCATTTCCTCCACCCACTGCCTACAAATATCGGGACAAGGATTGGCAAAAGTTATTTTCTCACAGTTCGTTGTGACCCTTCCGTTCATAGATGAGAATTGCAATCCCAATGCAAAAGCCGCGATCTTTATTGTGTTCCTTTGTGCATCGGTGTACAATGCAACCGCCATAGATGTTTTCAAAATTGACTTAGAAATTGCAAGGAATAATTGATTTGCAGCGCTTCAGGACTTGTTTGTAAAAAAATTGGATGTTCTTCGAATGGGGGAGTCTTTTGAGACTTTTATTGCCACTTGGGTCCAGCTAATTCTTTTGTTGGCATTAGACAGGATTATATTAACTAGTCTGACCAATATGGAACACATTGGATAAGTCAATATGGTTATTTGTAGCAGTGAGTAATGAAGAGGACACAATCCTTAAATTGCATTGTGAAACGTTTTGAATGTGATAATAAAGATGAAGACAATAGTCCGAACAATATAAATAGTGTAAGTAGTTACAATACCTTATCTCAGAAATATTGACAATTTTATTTATTGGTACAAATTTACTGATACAGAATCTGGTACACAGATGCATTAATTGCAGGATTACATGTATATCTGATGTAACCGCCTTCAGCCGCAATACGAGGCCGGAATCGTCGACATGCACACATGGTCTGTGTTGATGCTGGACATTACTCGGGTAATGGCGGCTTTCATTGAATCAGTAGTATTGTGTTAACGTTGATTAGTCTTCCGTTCAACACCACCCCACAGGAATACTGTTGTAGTTTTGAACATTATAAAATAAGCATTCTTATCTGGATAATGAGGAAGACATCAGAAGATAGTTTAGAATTTACTTTTACTCAATAGCAGTAGATAGGTTCGCCTATTGTGCGGTTCACACTCCTCCACGGTCTTTTGAACAGGAGTAGAGGTTTATCCCTTGTTTCCTCTTTAGGATTGGTTTTCGGTTTCTTCTAAAATCTTTTTCATTCTCCTTCACTCCCAGTAGCCCCTTACAAAATACAGAGTGTGTAAAGTATTTGAGGACACATTGAAGATCTTAAGAAAAACAACCACATCATATGAACAACTAAATCTATTGATACAAAACATGGTACGTTGATGCATTAATGGCTAGATTACATGTGACCAACGGAAACGGAATCGTTGACATACCAGCATCACATAGTCTGTATTGATATTGAACATTACTCGGGTAATGGCGGTTTTCAGGGAATCAGACGTATTGTAGGAACGTCGATTAGTCCCCCGTTCAACAACGCCCGACATGTAATAGTCAAGCGGATTTAGTTCTGACAATTTATTTGCCCACAAATTTGGTGTGATGTGATCGTGTAGTTTGACCGCCATCCAGTCTTGGCTTACTAGAGCTTAGGCGGCAGGTGCAGAGTCCTACGCATTGGCCATCGATTGCATACAATGTATATCCAAGGATTCACAACTTTTTTTTCCAGCACCTAAGTGTAGCTTGGCACCATACAACCGTTGAAAGAAGTAGGGTGGCATGGCGTGTCCTTCACTACTCACCAACCCTAAAACCATCACAGTTGTAGAGAACTTGGTGTGCATAACATGGTGAGGGGTAAATAAGCAACTGTCATTTCTCCAGTACACGTTTTGATCGTGGTCGAATTTCTTTTCGTTTGAAACAAAAACAGAGGATGTCAGGTTCTTCTGGATGTTTCGACTTGTTCAGTAATCGTTTTACTTGGAGTGCCTGTTTTCCATATTTGTGTACAGGCATTGACTGTCCTTTCCTCGTCACCTATGAGACCTCAATGCCGAATGTCCTCATGCCCGACATTGCGGATTGTGCCTTCCGATAACAATGCCGAGATTCGCATCGATAATTTTCTGGACCCTCTGTACGAATTGTGATGTCCTGATATTGTCCAAACGCTGTGACACATCCCCACTGGAGACTCCCAAATCCTTCCGAATTTTGTACACAAACGATCTGGTAATTTCCAATCTCAAAATTGATGTGCTCCGCGTCTATCAAAATGATTACAGCATGTCTTTTCATCTCATTCGCCACCAATGGTCTGAAAACAGAAAATCACATTAATTGATTATCACATAAGTAGAGGCACATAATCACGTGTTCTCAAACACCTTCCGCAAAACTATATATTGCTAGTGGCCATCTAAATAAGAAAAATAATTCAATTTTCGAAATGCATCTTGAATTCGTTTATACTCAATGTGAACTAATATGTTTGCATATAAATACTTTAGAATACATGTCATAAAGATAAATGAACATACCGTAATAGATAGATAGATAGATAGATAGATAGATAGATAGATAGATAGATAGATATGAACAGACAGAGATAGATAGATAGATAGATAGATAGATAGATAGATAGATAGATAGATAGATAGATAGATAGATAGATATGAACTGACTGAGATGAATAGATAGGAACAGACTGATATAGATAGATACATGCATGGATAGATAGATATGAAAAGACAGACACAGATATGAACAGACTGAGATAGATAGATAGATAGATAGATAGATAGATAGATAGATAGATAGATAGATTGTTGATCATTGCAGATTTGGTGCGCAGTTTAACTTGATCAATAAATGACTGCCGTCCATTCATCAATACTGTTGCTATTCAATTAGCAAAGAAGGGTCGTCCCAGTAATTTTAAATAAAGGTTTGGCAATGAACCTTACAGACCCAATATATCAAAAACTAATTGATATCTTTCTGTTATAATAATAAAAGGGCAGTTTAGATAGATAGAATGACTACACCTATATAGGTAGTCTATCTCGGTGTAGTATTATCTATCTATCAATCTATCGATCGTGTCATTTTTCATCTCTCTTTCTCTCTCTCTAGAGAGAGAGAGAGAGAGATGAAAAATGACACGATAGATAGATTTGAAAAAATGAGATGAGAAAGATATGAGTATACAGATTTATTTATATATATATATATATATATATATATATATATATATATATATAGAGAGAGAGAGAGAGAGAGAGAGAGAGAGAGAGAAAGAGAGAAGAGATTGATAGATAGAAAGATAGATAGATAAGCACGTTGTTGATCATTGCAAATTAGGCGTGCCGTACATTTTGATCAATAAATATCTGTCGTTCATTAATCAATACTATTACTAATTATATCATTATTAATAGTATTGAAAAAGAGCGAAAACGCTGGTGCGTGATTGGAATATTGTCGAATATATAAAATGATAAAGCGCTATCATCTTCATTGTCAACTGAACGATTGCCGCCATGCTCCCAATTATTTGGTTGAGCAATCATCTTTCTTTGGCTCTTGTCGAGAACAAAGCTGCGCCATCAAATATGCGCATGCGCAGATCTTTCTTCTGTCAAATCATTATGTTCACGTCTGTATTTTTTTTTTATCGTTTCTATAGGCTTTGTTAAGCTTGATCGTCGGCCATAACCGGTTTAACATCTGAACTGAATGCAAGTACAGGAATAAAAAAATATGGAAAGACAGAAATCGATTCTTTCAGACTGATTAAACCATATGATAGGAGGGGAGTAGTTTCAGTAAGCGTAAATGTATGCTAGTGTGCATGTTGGGAATGAATGTGTGTATGCTTTGTGTAAGAATATGCACGCCCACGTACGTGTACACACACACACACACACACACACACGGTTACATTTCTCCTCTACATATAATGATTTTCCAAGCGTAGCATAAATATGGCACAAGGCTGAAAGGAGGGGACACTCAGTGAGAATTGAACTCACGACTCAGTCGTAATTTTTCTAGCAATATAAGCTTGCTAACCATTACACCGCCTCAAGGTTCCCCTCTCACCTCTACATATATCCCCAAAATAATTTAAATAAATAATTATTTTTAATACTATTCTATGAAGAAGACATTAACCCAGATATCTGGAGATGTGAGTTCTAATTCAGCGCAGCAGAAGCAACAATACTGTGACACCCAGTGAAGATTGAACTCTTCTTTTTTATGTACTACGTGTTTCAAGATGTGAACGATTTCGTCTCTCATCAGCTTCATCTCGCTCGAAATATCTTTTGACTTTTTACCACTATTCTTTGTTCTCTTTTCGTTGTCATTTCACACTGTCTCGTTAAATCGGTTACTCTCTGTTTGTTTCTCTGTATATTACATTCAGTATGTCCGCCTGAGTCTTGAATTCTCCAAGCCTTCTTTCCTTTACTATGCTTCTGATTGTAAACATGGGCTTCCTTGATCCTATTTTCCCTGAAGATTTCTTCTTGCCTTCGTCCAACGTATTCTTGATATTTGTCAGCAGAACAACATCTTTGTCGGTTCACATTTTTTCTTCACATTTAAAGAGACTGCCCAGCATCCGCTCGAACTCGCTACCATAATAATGGTCTGTAAGTCTATCTTGTTAACTACAATCTGACAGAAAGGCACTCATCTTAACACAAGTTCTTGTCACAGACATGTCACTAAGTTTCTCTTGAGCCGCTTGGTAAATTAACACATCAGCGTCAGCAGCAAAACTTGTTATATTGTAAAACTTGAAAGGAAACAGTCATTTATAATTTATACAAGTTTTGGTTTGTCTTATTATTTGTAACATTTTCTTGTCTTTAAATGTTTCCGGTAACGACGGGAGTGGATAGGTTCTGGTACCTCGTTCTAAGTCCTGGGAAGCAAACCAGTCCTTAACACTGACCTGTTTCAAAACTTACTCATAGTCTTCTACTTTGCACATTGTGGTAAATAATAAGTGTTTAGGAGATTTAACGCTTCTATCCAACAGGTATGTTAATTAATTATCTTCTCACCTTCTGTCTTTTATTTGCACTCTTTATTTGTAAATGTTCTTCCTTTTAACTTCATCTTTATACATGTATGAATTTATCTCAGTCAAGGCAGAGAGAAGGCACGATGGATAGCAGCTCGGATTGAGGAATCAGAGAGTCGAATCCATTACGTGCTAATACCCTTGGGAAAGTAATGAATCCTCTTCTTCTCCCCCCAGCTATGAGTAAGTAGCAGGACAGACTGGGTTCTATAGGCTTGGATGGGCTACCGCAGAAAGAAATGGCAACCTACTGCGGGAAAAACATCTGCCTCGTCAGTCATGTATCGAAAGATACATGATCGCCTAAGCGTGTATCACGCATGGCACATAACTGTCTGATCTATCTATAGCAGGACAGACCGGGTTCTATAGTCTTGGATGGCAACTGGTCTACCGCAGAAAGAAATGGCAACTAACTGCAGGAAAAAATCTGCCTCGTCAGTCATGTATCGAAAGATACATCACCTAAGCGTATATCACGTATGGAGCATAACTAACAATACAGAGGCTCAGTTCGAAGTTCCCTGGCGCGACAAGTACCTTATGAAGACCAGAGAGCACAACGATCGAAACGATGTGAGGATAACAACAAAGAGAGGAAGACTATTCCACATGTAAACAATGAACAGATGAATAAGCTTGGTCCGGTACAAGAACAAAGCTAATGAATAAGCGTTAGAAGATCCAGTTAACAATGTGTCTAAAATCAGACAAAATCTTAAAGAGAATTCTTAAATATTCAAAGAACTTGCAGTTACTTATAGTGAGAATCGTCAGTCGCTTCTTCCATGTGCCGTGTCCCTTCAGGATTGTTGATGATCATGGCTCACCACAATATCCTGCCCTAATAAATTTTGTCTTTTGCTATCTCTCCTAAACCCTGTTCTGCCATCTATTTACACAAGCTCGTTAGAGAGGTTATGCGTGGTTTTCCTCTGTCCTTCTTGCCTTCAATATGTCTCGGGAGTATCAAGTTTTTCAAGCCCTTTATCCTCATTATGTGCTCTCGAAACTTAAGCTGTCTCTTTCTGATGTTAAGTATAAGTTTCCATTTTCTCTAAAACTTTGTCTATTCTGATATGTTCAGTCCATGGTATTCTCATCATCCTTGTGTCGAAACAAATTTCAGTTCTCTTCTTCATCTTACTTATTATAAAACGCAGATTGTGCGTGTGTGTGTGTGTCTGTACGTTTATATATTGGATCGGATTTCCTACATTTTTCAACCGATTTCAACAAAACTTCTCAGGACTACGTAAAATTACCTTGCGGTGGTTCTGACAGCGCCAAAAATTGGAAAAACACAATTGTTTTTGCACGAAATCAATTTGAAAACACGATTAAGAGTCATCGCGAGAATGAAAGGGGGAAAACTCATATCGAGTTATACTTATTATAAAACCCAGGTTGTTTGTGTGTATCTGTGTGTTCGTTTATATATGGGATCGGATTTCTTACATTTGTCAACCGATTTCAACAAAATTTCACTTTTTTTTGGTAGATAGTGTTTCTTATTGTCTTGCACACTTTTTTCTTTATTTTTACATTCAGAATGCTTTAAAACTTCCATTTACAAGACAATTGTTTATAATAAAATTCTATTCAATCGGTAGACTCATAACGATTGAAAACAATGTTTTTGTTTGAATTTGGGTTTGACCAATTCGTAAAAAAAAAAGAAAAAAAAAGTAAAAAATCTAATTAAGACATGCGTGTCCGTCAACCTTAAACAATAATCTTTGTCAATTTTATTTTTCAGTCTTTATGATGGTCGATACTTGATCTATCTCTTTTACATCCCCGGGCAACGCCGGCCTCTACTGCTAGTCTGTGATAAGATTGGACAGCATTCACTGTCTGTTATATAGCATACCTATGAACACTAATGGGCATGTCCCAATTCTCATAAATACGTCGGACACTATTGTAAGTGGGGGCAATATGCTGTCTACGTAGTCCACCACTAGCAGTGGTTTACCTACTTCACGCCGCTGGCGAGTATTGTATTTTGTTGATGTTATAGAGATTGTCATTACATTTCATTTCCAACCTCCGTTTTGGTTATTCCTCATTCAGTAACCATTTCTAGGTCACAACATGGGAAGACCGATATTACATAACAGTTCAATACTCTTTTTTTTTCTTTTGTTTTTGTTTCTAATGAATTTTTCCTGTTTCTTGATTCTTTGCACAGCTTTTGGACAGCATCTTCCGCTATCACAATGCACCTTCGGATTTCAGCGTCGCACTTTCTCTCCTCTATTAAAACACTACCCGGATATTTAAATTGTTGTACTTGCTTGATTTTGCGATCTCCAATTTGTAATTTACATTTTAGGCTGTCCCTTTTACTGACAACTATACATGCTGTCGTCTTACAATTGTTGTTTAATCCTTTCTTCTCACTTTCTTTCACTGCCTTCTGTAGAAGTTATTGTAGTTTCCTTTCTGTGTCTGTTATTAACACTGTCATCTGCATCTTTTATGCTGTTAAGATGGTAGCTGACAATAATAAATCCTGGTAGGACTTCTAATTCTATCAGAATCGCCTCACTGTATAAGTTGAATAAGTCCAGTGTGAAGACATATACGCCCTTTTCTATTTGTCTGTATTTTTTTATATTTACTAAGTTAACTTTCTATGTGTAGGTGGTTTGATCACAATATAGGATCTGGATTATTCTAATATCACTTAAAAATATGCCAAGGTTACCTAGAAGTTAAAACAATTCTTTGTG